AGGAGAGGATGCTACATCTGCAAATGAGTTTTCGAAGAGAGGTGATTTTCTTTCGTTTTCGTGATAATAGTCACTGAAGTGTCTATTTTTCTTAGATCTCTTCTTAGCAACCTTTTGGTTTATTTGAAATTGTTGTCAATCATGTTAGTTCTATGTTGTTTGAATAGATTCGAATTGATAAATAGAGACTTCGAATAGATAAATTACAACAGAATATATTCGAATAGATAAATTACAGCAGATAACTATCATAAGAAAACCCGCTGAAGCATTAGATTCACAATTTTGTACCATTACGTTTCAGGTAACATACCATATTTTTAACTTGTGCATAAGATTAAAACATGAACTGTTGATAGTACAAGTTGTATAGGGTTTTGCACAAGGTTAGAGAGTAAACGTGATGAAATGTAGTAGATAATTTAAATAATTTCATATTCAATCACGGGATGTATCAAATTTAGGTAATTAAGTATAGATTAAGCGTTTATTGATTTTCCCGTTGTGTATAATATGCTCAAATTTTTAATTCTTTCCTCTTTATTATAGGAGAGGATGTGGAATCTGAAGTTCTTTCAAATAAAGGTAACTTTCTTACCTTTTCATGATAATAATATTGCCTTACATATCTATTATGAATTAGACCTTTGCAGTCAAATATTTCAATCAAACACAATACCAGAAAAAATTGCTTAAGTGATATTTATAGGCAAATCACAATCAATCAAAGACATCGTTATAATAATAATAAATTAATTAATAATTGCTACAATGTTACAGGATATAGCCTTATTTTGGCACATTATATCTGAGTAATTGAATTTATATTAGATTCAACTAATATATTCACAGTCAAATAATTAATGTGTATGGATTATAAGCTTCATATTCATTTTAGGTTTTCGCCGAATTGAATATATATATTTAAATGCAAGTAAATTATAACACCGTTTGAACTAATACCACGAACTACTATGTAAGAAAAATAGACACATGAATTTATAAACAACAATTTCTAAATATATGTCCAGACTGTCATTACATTATGTTCACAGTAACTTGC